CATGAATGTATTGCAGATATCATTAATTCAAGATTTTAAAGTACTACATAATTCGAGAATTTATTCTGATTCAAGGGGAATCAGATTGCCATACTGACTGGGCGAGAGGAGGAGCTGGGGATGGAGGAGGGTAATGAGCTCCTGAGAAACGCCATAGCAGCTGATAATACTGAAGAGCTTATATACAGGTCCTTCTCAAAAAATTAGCATATTGTGATAAAGTTCATTATTTTCCATAATGTAATGATAAAAATTAAACTTTCACATATTTTAGATTCATTGCACACCAACTGAAATATTTCAGGTCTTTTATTGTTTTAATACTGATGATTTTGGCATACAGCTCATGAAAACCCCAAATTCCTGTCTCAAAAAATTAGCATATCATGAAAAGGGTCTCTAAGCGAGCTATTAACCTAATCATCTGAATCAACTAATTAACTCTAAACACCTGCAAAAGATTGAATGAAATTGAATGATTGAATGAGCCTGTTTCATTACTCAAAACCGCAATCATGGGTAAGACTGCCGACCTGACTGCTGTCCAGAAGGCCATCATTGACACCCTCAAGCAAGAGGGTAAGACAGAAAGAAATTTCTGAACAAATAGGCTGTTCCCAGAGTGCTGTATCAAGGCACCTCAGTGGGAAGTCTGTGGGAAGGAAAAAGTGTGGCAAAAGTGGACTGACTCTAGAGTAGAAACATCCAGAGCCACCGTGCACAGGCGTGTGCAGGAAATGGGCTACAGGTGCCGCATTCCCCAGGTCAAGCCACTTTTGAACCAGAAACAGCGGCAGAAGCGCCTGACCTGGGCTACAGAGAAGCAGCACTGGACTGTTGCTCAGTTTTGCATGTCATTCGGAAATCAAGGTGCCAGAGTCTGGAGGAAGACTGGGGAGAAGGAAATGCCAAAATGCCTGAAGTCCAGTGTCAAGTACCCACAGTCAGTGATGGTCTGGGGTGCCATGTCAGCTGCCGGTGTTGGTGCACTGTGTTTTATCAAGGGCAGGGTCAATGCAGCTAGCTATCAGAAGATTTTGGAGCACTTCATGCTTCCATCTGCTGAAAAGCTTTATGGAGATGAAGATTTCATTTTTCTGCACGACCTGGCACCTGCTCACAGTGCCAAAACCACTGGTAAATGGTTTACTGACCATGGTATTACTGTGCTCAATTGGCCTGCCAACTCTCCTGACCTGAACCTCATAGAGAATCTGTGGGATATTGTGAAGAGAAAGTTGAGAGACGCAAGACCCAACACTCTGGATGAGCTTAAGGCCGCTATCGAAGCATCCTGGGCCTCCATAACACCTCAGCAGTGCCACAGGCTGATTGCCTCCATGCCACGCCGCATTGAAGCAGTCATTTCTGCAAAAGGATTCCCGACCAAGTATTGACTATTGAGTGCATAACTGAACATAATTATTTGAAGGTTGACTTTTTTTTTTGTATTAAAAACACTTCTTTTATTGGTCGGATGAAATATGCTAATTTTTTGAGACAGGAATTTGGGGTTTTCATGAGCTGTATGCCAAAATCATCAGTATTAAAACAATGAAAGACCTGAAATATTTCAGTTGGTGTGCAATGAATCTAAAATATATGAAAGTTTAATTTTTATCATTACATTATGGAAAATAATTAACTTTATCACAATATGCTAATTTTTTGAGAAGGACCTGTATGTATACAGTGATAGGCGTCGTATTCCTATGTAGACGTGGATCAACTGAGAGCCAGCTGATGCGAAACTTGATTAACTTGACCTGCCAGAACTGATGCTACACTTAATATAGATATATCCAACCTCAAACCGTTTTTGTCTCCTACATGGCAGATACAGAGCAGATGTTCAAGATTTTCAAAAGATGGATCATATTAAGTTCATGAATTAAGACATGTCTTTCATTTCATTAAGTGGCCAGAAATATTGTGCCAGGACACTGTCTCTGAATTCCAAAGAATCCAATCTTCACAGCATAGTGTCCCTGCAAATAAAGCCTATCCTGCTGTGACGGCTGCCTTTTGACCTTTGTCTACAGCAAACATGCTCATTAATTCATCATGATTCACAAACCGAACTCTTTTTCTTTGCGCCGGAGCTTTTACAACATCAGCTAAATATTTAGACTACACTAACAAAGCTTTAAAAATGCCAGAGAGGAAGCAAAGACAATCCAAGCAGCCTGGAAAGACAACTAATAAGCACTCATCCACGGTGGAAGCCACAACATAAAGGCACCTGTTATTATAGAAGCAGGTATGTCGACTCACTGATGGCCTGTACGTAAGACTTACACCTGTCACATATAAAAATAATTACACAAGGTTCGTCATGTTGGCTGGTTTTGCGTGTGAAAAGTTTGAGGCTTTTGGACAAGTTGCAACCCATGTAAGTATTCTCTCTCGCTCTCTCTCTCTCTCTCTCTCATTTGCTTTCTTTCTGTCTCTCACTAATATATATGGACATAAGCCACAGTTAATGTACACTATGCATCAAAAGTTTGGGGTCGGTACGATTTTTTTAATGTTCTTATTCTCATCCAGGCTGAATTTATTTGATCAAAAAAAAAATTTGATTAAAGAAAAACATTTTAAAAATAACTGTTTTCCATATTATTTTAATATATTTTAGAATGTACTTTAGAGATGGAAAGCTGAATTTTCAGCATCATTACTCCAGTCTTCAGTGTCACATGATCCTTCAGAAATCATTCTAATATGATGATTTGATGCTCAAGATACATGTATTATTATTATTCTCAATGTTGAAAACAGTTGTGCTGCTTAAAGGGGTCATATAATGCCATTTTTGTACAAGCTAATATGATTCTTTAGGGTCTAAATTAAAAGTTTGTAATATACTTTAATTAAAAATTCTCATTAGTATTGTAAGAAAACACTTATTTTACCTGGTCAAAAACAGCTCTGTTTTCAGCACGCCGTTTCAGTGCATATGACTTTAAATGATCATGAGCTTTGCTGACTCCGCCCCTCTGTCCTATGCGTACACCAGAGCTCTGGCGTACACCATTTGTAACTCAATAACCATAACGCGTTGTTCAGTATAAACGTGGGATTATGAATTATATTGAGAACGTCATACATAGAAAACATGCCGTAATGTACCCTGAGTGTAAACCTTAGACGCATTCATTGTGAAGCGTGCAGCTAGCGATTTGCAAAGATTAATATATTAATATAAAGTTTAATAAAACGTTACACTCACTTCCGTTCTTCGGGAGATTCAGCAGGAACACGAATATCTGGTAGCAGCTACCGATCCATTTTTCATGAGCAGCAGCTTAGCAAATCCAGCTTTATACTGTTCCTCGTCTATAAAGCAGTCTGGTGAGAAATGATTCGCGCAAACATGAACGCATTGACGTTGCTCGTGGGAACTCAGCCACTGCGTCTTCAGCGGTTCGGATTTAGGAACATTAAAATGACTGCTGTGTTCGTTATTACACCCAAGAACAGAACACCACAATCGCTTAGACGCCATTCTGCTCATAGACAGTGCTCCAGCATATCAACAATGAGCGCGCCGGTCCGCGCAGACTATGATTGACAGCTCTCTCATGCAGCTGATCTCACCCGCGAGGGCGGGTCTGTGTTGAGACGCTCCTGTCAATCAACAATCGTGGGAGGGGCTTCCGAGCGTGTGACGTCACACGGTCGAACGGCTCGATTTGAGGCAGGGGAAAACATATAAGGAGAATAAAACAAAACCACTGGATGGATTTTTATCATTATATGATGGTTGTGTACAGACACTGCCAACACACATTTCAGTACAATCAACTTGTAAAAGTGCATGCACCATTATATGACCCCTTTAATATTTATGTGGACACCATTATAAATTCTTTTAACAATCTTTGATGAATAGAATGTTCAAAAGAACGGCATTTAAATAGAAATCTTTGGTAACGTTATAAATGTCTTCACTGTCACTCTTGATCAATTTAATGCATTCTTGCTGAATAAAAGCATTCATTTATTTTGTAAAAAACCATAGACCCCAAACCTTTGAATGGTAGTGTGTGGATGTCATTGTATTAAAACAAAATACCAAACCAAGTGCTTTTCATTTTAAAGAAATATGGGCACACTTTTCAATCAAAAAACAATGCACAAAATTTGTTATATGATTTAAATGCTAAAAAAAATAGACCTACTGTTTAAGAGGAAGACAATTTTTTTTTTTTACTTTATGAACGTGAATAATTATTGTATCATACAATACAATACATATTGTATTTATAGCACATTTAAAACAACTGCCGTTGACCAAACTGCTTACCAGTATACAAAAAAAGCAAATTGATCATTTTCAATTTCATAGTTAATATTTTAAACACCTGTGTAAACAGATTTCATACATCCACTAAACATCCTATTGAGACCCAATGTCTAACAAAATAAATAAAAAATAGCTGAGAAAAGGGAAGTAAGCATCATTTGTTTGCATCATTTGTTTGCAGATGTACACACATTTTGTAAACTACATTTTTAAGTGTAGAGTACATATTCAAATACCTTTGAGGCTACTGTATACACACAAATGCAAACAAATCAAAAAGTAATTAGCAGACCTTGAAGATATTGTTCGTCAAATGTCAAAGCGAATCAGTCACAAATCCTGCGTGCAGCTTCAAACTTTAACAGTATTTCTCCTGAGGCACAGAGGTGTCGAAATGCACGCACACACGTATGTATGTACATGAACATGCGATTAGCATGTTGAAACATGCAAATGATTTCTATATGTTAGCTTCCGAACATTTTTTGGTTAACCTTTAACATTCTTTTGGCCTCTGTATAATCGGCATGTTTTTGTCTGCTGTCAAAATTCCAAAGTTACATTGATAGACCATATTATAGCATACAATACTATAACAGAAAAAAAACTAAAATACATAGTTTCTGTATAGTAAGCAATAAAATTAAATAAAATAACAAATTCTATGAACTGCATTAAAGACAGAAACTCTTACCTTCGGACACTCTTCTACTCTCACGATACTGTCCCTATCACCTGCACCAATACATTGAGATCAAACAAGCTTGAAATCCACTCACTGGAACACAAACACTCATGTACATTATTTCAGACATCTGACAACTCACGGAAACCTAGAACCAGTAATACCAGAAGTAGGGAGGTGACTTGAGGGCTACGCAAACACGGAGGCATGGCAAGTCAATGTGAAGCGTGTGGCTACCTATCCCTGTTTATAGAAAGCCCATTTCAAAAGAATACCATGTGATCACAAAGCTCTATAGTGAGTTACAGAATAGAGAAGCTTTTAGAATACAAAAGTCCATTTCATTCATTTTCATGAAGTCTGACATGACCAATGCAACTTCATGAAAAGACATTAATTGCTTTCTCCATCTCATAATACTTATAATGGAGTTAATGGTTTAAAGTCGGGATGGGAGACCAGACATCCCAGTTTCATGAGGTGTGTCCCGTCAATTGGCTAAAAAAAAAAATCAATATTTCCCAGATGTTAGGCACACATATAATACTGCAGAAAACACAGCCAAAAAATATAGTTCAGTCATGAAACTCTCAGGCTGATCAGTCCTTTACATGCAATCTGCAAGCAATTACATCATTACCACATGGCACAAGCTAATTGGCCTCTGCTGATCCTGCAGCCAATGAGATTACTTGCTCAACACAGTCTGGTTCAGCGTTTTCTGTAGGTGTTTGTAATCAGAGTCCCTCTGAAACCCTCCACCTCCCCAGCTCCACTTGCCCACATCTGCTATGGGATTTATATCAGCATATCTTACATTCTCAAGCATTTTAATATAATTAAAATAATTGAATTACATTTTTTTTTTTATTACTCCCCTGGGAAATACCTTAAAATAATATTACAAAAAAATTTTGGTAAAAAAAGTGAAATTCACGCTTGCATACCAAGAAAAAAAAAAACTACTCATACATTGTAGCAGAGAGGAGATTGTTTGGAAGAAAGATAGCACCACAGGCTAGATCACTCGATGAGCGACACAGCTGATCGTGTCTTAAACATATGCATGGAAAAACATAATGCAGATGCCAGCATGGTTGAGTGACATGCTTTCATCCTAAACCATGAACAAAACAATTTGAGATAAAAGACGACATGATTCACGATCCTACAATAAATGCGGGTTCACTTGAATGATAAACACAGGGTGTGACTCGTGTTTTTTGTGTGTTGAATTATTGGCTGCAGAGAGTTATCAGAACTAAAAATGTTGAGACATTTAGAAGCCATTCACAAAATGTATTTCTGGATACTGAATCAAAACCTTCATAATCCCACTGTGCCACATTACAGATCCAATAGCACAATAAAAACGGCCTGTATGATTTATCTGTATTAGTATGTGTTATTTTACTTTATTTTATGTTTACTTTATTTCAAGGATAGCCCCTTGAGATGTACCATCTCATTTTCGAGGGGGTCCTTACAATAATGACAAACAAAACAAGATGATACAGAGTAAAATATTAAAGATAATTCCAAACACATAAGTACAAAGACACACACACACACTCACACACCCACGCGCAGTCCAACAATGCTCCCCGCGAAACTAGCCCCCCACCCCCTCACCAGCCAATAATGCACAAATTATACACGGACAAGGTATGATTAAAAAAATATATAATAATAATAATAATACAATAAAATAATAGAAAAATAATAAATAAATAAGTAAATAAATCCCTCTGCAATATTCCATATGGCCAGACCTGCTACAGCACATCTTTCCGTTCACATACAGTTTAGTCAACACAGCACTTTTCACTGCAAAATTCTGAAAAATGCATCAAACGTTTCCATCAGTATTCAGTTATTTAGGATGGCAGGATGGAGAGAGAGATGTTGGGGTGAGAGAGAGAGAGATAGCTCTTAATCTGTGCCTCACAGCAACGCAGTAAAAGTTTGGAAGTATCTGGGACAGACAGGAAGAGAGTGAAGGAACCTCCCATTCATCTCGCTACCATTCAGGAACATCCGTCAGCACTCTCGCACACCTTGTCTGCTTTAATCATTTTAATAATACACTGCCAGAAAAGAGAAAACTCTCTTATGCAACTTTGTGCCACTGCAATTGCCACACTATTTTACAACCCTGGAGTAAAGCAAAGGATAGTCTTGTTTTATACATAAACTAAATGAATGGAATATAAAAAAAATCTTACTGCAAAATATGTCATTTATTGATATTTAGACCTTTTCTATGGAAGCAAATAAGAGACATAACTATTTGAAATTTAACAGCCACTGAATACTTAGTTTTGAAATATTTTATTTTGAAAAACATTTATCTGAATTTATTTGCTCTGAGTTCCCCCCTTTGAAATTATTTTACTTTGGGAACCATGTATCTGAATGTATTTGTTTCGAATTTACCTCTTTGAAATTTAAATATGATTTAAATGTTAAAAACCTGAATTCCGGTGAATATTTTTCAATGCTGACAAATTCAGATAAAAAAAAAATAAAAAAAATCAACTTACAGAATTTCAGATAAAATAGATTCAGGTTGATCAAATTTGATTGCTCAAATTTAGATCTCAAATTTCAAGTTCATATTTTTCAAAGAAGACATCAGTCTAATTCGACTGCTCAAATTCAGATCGAAAAATTCAAGTTAAATATTCACATGGTAACATCCGGGCTACCCAGGGGTGCGTTTCCCGAAAGCATCGTTAGCCAACTATGGTCGCAAGTTGGTCGCAAATCCCATTGAACTCTATTGGTAATGACGGAACTTGCGACCATAGTTGGCTAACGATGCTTTCAGGAAACGCACCCCAGGATAGGAAAAACCATAAACATAATAAATACATAGACGCCCTATTGGCCGCTGGAGCTTACGTCAACGACGCCGCCATATTGCGGAGGGCAACTTTCTCATACTTCTCATAACGAGAATTGAGAAAAATGCCTGTTTCGTGTGCTGTTTGGGGCTGTACAAATCGCCACACAATTGAAAACAGGTCTCGAGGAATTACCTTTCCCAAGCAAGACTGAACATTTGTTTCTGGTTGTATTTGGTCATGATATAATTAGTAATAGTAACGTTCCGAGGAGAAAGGCCACGAAATTTAAAAATACTACTGTTACTACTGTACACTGTAAAAAAACTTAACTCATTATTTTGTGTTATCTTTTTGCATGGGTTTTTTTTTAGTTTAACTAACTTATTTCGATAAGTTGAGGACAAGAAAACTTAAAATTTCTCGTTGTCTGGACAATCTAGTTATCTCTACACAAAAAAATAAGTTGAAATAACTAAATTGCTAAAATATATTTTACAGTGTAATTGTGTCACGAAATGTAGTTTTAATAGTTTTTCAGTCGACAATGTAGTTGTTTAAAGCACATATCTGTGGCTTATTTATAAATATATTTAAAAATGTAAAAATTTGATCTGACATTGTTGTGAGATCCAGGCGATAAGCAGGCGCTCAGCGCTCATGTACCCCGCCTGGAACAGCCTTATACCTCGGCTAGTGCTTCTGACGTTTGCCATAATTTAAACTATAATTTGAACAAAATATGAAACATTATAATATTGATCATTAAACTGACAGTTAACAAAAAAGATTTGTGTGTAATTCACAAATGAGTTATCAAATTTGATTCAAGCGTAACAGTTCATCGTGCTATTTGATGGATTGTCTTGTATTTTTGTCGTTGTTCGTGAGCATGAGATGTTAATTTTGTCAATGCATATTTATGTTCTGTTCACACTAATGACAGACATGCGTTAATTAGAAACAAGAATGCGAACGGTAAAAGCAGAAATATCAGATTTGGCTTGAGGTTATGAAACCTGACTCATTAAAAGAACTTAGTTTCCCTTCTTCATTTAATGGGTCTGTACTGTCTGTATGCACAAAACAAGAATACGACTGAGCAATGAATGTTTTATCTGGATCAGGAGGCCATGATCAGATCTCTCTATGAACATTTGGTTCATTTCTTATAGTTAAAGAAGTGTGGAAGGTGAATGTGCCCTTCTTAGGAACGTCCAGGATTAATTTCCAGAGAAGCTTATCCAATGTTGTCAAACTGACGGACAGCTGCTGTGTCTCAGATACACTAGAGATAAAAAGGAATTTGATGGTATTTTTGCACTCAAAGCTCCTTGTTCCAAGATGGAACCAAGATCATCAGCTGTAAAAATCTGGATTGAGTGTTCTGCCCCAACTTGCTGAGCATTTCATGTTGATTTACCCCAAACATTTTTTTTCAATTATAATCTTCACAACAAGTTGTGACAGAACCCCACAGCAGATAAACAGGAAACCACAGCCTGTCAATCAAATTCACTCAAGACTCAAGAGTTTAAACAAGATGCATCTCCAACACTGAAGAGAATGATTAATTCAGTTCATAAAATATTTGAATATGGTATGCAGCTCTAACCATGGAATGGTTCCCCCACCCCCCAATAACAGCAAAAAACAACAAAAATCACGTTTAATTCACTGCATTTCTTGACGTTTCTTTGAAACTATTTGTATATTTACTATCAAATTCTGAGTGAAAATTGTTTCAAAGTGTATTTTAAATAATAATAATAATAATTTCTGCTCTAATTAAAGGAAAGCTTCTTTAATGATTTGGTATATTTAAACATTTAGAATCCAACATGATTTGACTGAATCATTATAAATTAAATATTAAAATCATTAATACCATGCATTCTTTTTCTTGGTCTCGCTGTAGAATATAACTTGTTTTTTTCTGAAACAATTGTGTTTTTTATGCAAATGTATAATTCTATTTCATTCTATGAACACTATGAACAACACAAATGAATAAATAACTGGAATAATATTATATATAATCATATGATAATAATATAACTGATGCTGCATTATCTATACAAGTCCCAAAAAGAGGAAATGTCAGTTTCATTGTGGTTCAGAATTGTCAAATTAATTGTTAACCAATAATATGGACTCAATAAACAGTAACTTCCAGAAAAACCTTGAAAAAAAAACATGTCTTGAGAAATAAATCTAATGACTGAAAAATAGCATATTGTTGGCTACTGCCCTTGTAACGTAATCTCTTGCAGATTCTCTGAATAACATGAAAGAGAAGGAAAATTATATGTTTTACAAACAAGAAATTCACATTCCAAGGCATGAAAATT